CTGGAATCGAACCCATGACCCTCCGATCATAAGGCAACCCGCTCTACCACCTGAGCTGCTGCTGCCCCATTTTGCTCATTATAAATGTGTTTAATCAAATGAATGATTCTTATGCTTTGGGTAATTATAATGGATTAATGAATCCATACTTAATTAGATAATGTTTGAGGATGTTTGTTACCGACCTTCACACACACACTCAAACACACCCACACACAGATTCTCACAGTAAACTCCAAAACACATTTGCTGACGCACACGTTTGCTTTGAGAAGAGAAAGGCTTTTGGTAAGTTTCAGTCTTATTGACCCCCCCTCTCACGCTGTTCCTGCCAAGCCAGACAGGACAGCTGAATCGCAACTTCTAACGCAGACTCGTCCAGAGTTTTTGATTTCTGAGTGAATTAAACTTAACAAAGCGCATCGACAAAACGCTTTATCATCACGTGTACCGAGGTCATCTCCTGGACCGGGTCGCAGCACGCCTTCGTCTGCCAGCCGAGGTGTCACCCCTGGATGAAACATCGTCCTTTGACGTCCCGGGTCCAAGAGGAGGGTCCGAATACGGTGAGACAGAACACGAGAGATAGCGTTGATGCACCTTTTCCAACAAAACCTAAGTTTATTCAAACCATCACTTTTCACTCAGACACCTGTTTCTTCCTGAAGCAAAATCAGATACACACACGCATCCATCTCACCTCATGTTCAATTCTCAATACACTTTGCACACACACGCATCCATAACCACATCATATTACTCTCAATCTTCATTCACCAACAGAAGGTCTATTTGAGCAAGAACAGCATATGAACTGTTAAAGATTGTCCCACAAAGTTGCCAATGTTGATTGTTATTTCCTGTTTGTCAATTTCAAAATCATTAGTTTAATTTGAAGAATTAAAACTTTTAATTGTGAAACTTGTTTCTTCATTGAACTGAAACACAGACCCACGGATATTATCGACAGTTTATCGATGAAAACAACCTTTGAGTCTTCATAAAACTATACAATTTGGTTATTAATTTAATAAAATTAATATCACAAATTTTCATGTAGAATGGTTCCTCTTTCATAAAAGAGCATAAACCACAACGCTACAGCATTCTACTCTTTTCCTAATCAAGACCATGGTCTCAGATTTAGAGGAGCTGATTCTCATCCCAGCTGCTTCACACTCGGCTGCAAACCGCTCCAGCGAAAGCTGAAGATCATGTTCTGATGAAGCCAACAGGACCACATCATCTGCAAAAAGCAGAGACCTGATCCTCAGGCCACCAAAACAGATGCCCTCAACACCTTGGCTGTGCCTAGAAATCCTGTCCATAAAGATTATGAACACAATCGGTGACAAAGGGCAGCCTTGGCGAAGTCCAACTCACTGGGAACGAGCCCGACTTACTGCCAGCAATGCGGACCAAGCTCTGACACCGGTCATACAGGGACCTAACAGCCCGTATCAGAGGGCCTGGTACCCCATACTCCCAGAGTGCCCCCCACAGGGCCCCCTGAGGGACGCAGTCAAACGCCTTCTCCAAATCCACAAAACACATGTAGACTGGTTGGGCAAATTCCCACGCACCCTCCAGGATCCCCTTAAGGGTACAGAGCTGGCCCAGTGTTCCGTGGCCAGGACGAAAACCACATTGCTCAATTTAGTTTTCAATTCAAGTTTATTTATATAGCGCCAAATCACGACGAGAGTCATCTCAAGGCACTTCACATAATAAACATTCCAATACAGGTCAGTTCATTAAGCCAATCAGAAAAAAAAGTTTCCTATATAAGGAACCCAGCAAATTGCATCAAGTCACTTACTGGTGTCAGTGACTTTACAGCAATCCTCATGCTAAGCAAGCATTTAGTGACAGTGGAGAGGAAAGCTCCCTTTTAACAGGAAGAAACCTCCAGAGGATCCTCCAGTGGGACTGCCCCCAGGGTCCACGCGATATTGTAGAGCCGCGTCACTCAACACAGCCCCACAACATCCAGAGCCTTAAGGAACTCTGGGCGGATCTCATCCACCCCTGGAGCCTTGCCACAGAGGAGCCTTTTAACCACCTCAGTGACCTCAGCACCAGAGATATGAGAGCCCAACTCAAAGTCCCCCGACTCTGCTTCCTCACTGGACGACCAACATGCCCCACCTCCAGGCTGACCCATGTTCGGGCGAGGGAACATGGTTTCCATTTATATTATTCATCATAAGAGATGTCCTTTTATCTGTAATGCAAAACTGGATCTCAAATTTACAGTCCTACCTAACTTTACCATACTTCTAGACATTTTATTTCCCCATTAATCACCACCTTTGAAATTTTTCTGCAAAGGGCAAATATTGACCTAAACTGCATATGTCTCATCATAAAACCAAGTAACCAAGTAACATCACGGCTTACCATATTAAATACCAAATTGTGATTTCATTGTAAAAGCTACCAGAACCCCATGCTAGGCTCAAAATGAGTGGACTTTGGTGTGACTGTGTGTAAAACCACAGCATCTTTGGCTAAGGGGCTAGGGATTCCAGAAACACAAAAACAGCGGAGACCAACATAAACAACCACAAAGACGTAACATGCTCTGTCTCTTGTCACCTTAGTTCTGGTTGTTTTGTTGTGTTGTAGAACTTTGGTTTGTGCCAGAACTGACCAACCCAAAGAATATTCAAGCAGCTCTAATTAGACCCACAGAGGGCCCCCGACTGCACAACACCAGTTTTGGATCCCAGCTCCAATGAAGGTGTGTTTGTGTGTTATATTGTGTTTGCCAGTTCTGTGGCTGCCAATCAGAACTAACCAGTCCCATTGTTGAAAAGCAGCTGAGACTGGAATTCAGACAACTTTCTCTCTCTCTTTCTCATTTCTCTCTGGATGTTAACTTTTAACAACCAAAATTAAATAAATAAATACATAAATAAATAACTCAATTAAGAGGTCTATAATTTATCAATTTTACTTTAAGATTACCTGGATTTGGATCAAAATGCGCTAACAGCTTCATCTCACAAAATGATCACGGTAAAAGAAATTTAATAACTGCATTTCATATAAAACCCAAAGACAGCTAATATGGTGATTAAAATGGAATGCAATTAAAAGCAAGTCAGGAGAGAGAGCAAAGAAGAAAACAGAAAAAAAAACAGCCCAAGCGGTACACCTAAGCAACAGACAGAACCAACCTGATCCAAATTTCAATTCTTTTTTTGACTGACTTATTTCAAATTTCTCCCATCAAGTTAACCTAAAATAAGGAAAAGGTAGATGGGTTCACCTTTTCATTTTTTTGATAACAAAGCTTCCATGAAAGTTAAATGCATACTTTCTTGGTTCGTTTTTAACATAATTTTTCAGTCACTAAATTCAAGCCAAGCGTGAGTAAACCACTGTTGGGTCAAAAAATAAAAACAAAAATAGAACAAACTAATGGTAATTTCTGAAACAGTTTTTTCTTCTTTTATTAGAACATATATCTGAATATTAATTTATGATAGTAATCTGTGAACCGTTGTTTGATGTTTCTACATAAAGGGTACCATACCCACCATATAGAGCACTTTCAACACAGCATCACAACTGACCAAAGTGGTGAACATTGGCAAAGACATTGATAAAACAATTAGGTAAAACAAAGCCACTACCGAGTTATGACATTTCAATCTAACACAAGGACACAATTAGACGAATAAAAAAATATTCTAATATAGAAAAGAAGGAAGAAAATAAAATAGGTTGTTTAAAAGCACAACTAAGTATTAAAAGCCTAAGAAAAATGTGTTTTAGATGAGATTTAAAAGCCTGCCTAACTTGGGGGGCAAGTGAGTTCCACAGCTTCAGGCCACTGACCAAGTAAGCTCTTTCACATTAAACCGCTTTCACATCTGGGTCGGCACAGACCGGGCCTGTAGTTTAACATCTGGGTAATCTGTACATTTTCTGTTCTGAGCAGACCTTTTTTCATACCTGCTATTCTGCGGTCCGGCTAGGGCTGAGGGGACCCAACACACCAACCAATCTGATTGGCCGGCTTAGAGGTTGTCTCTGACTGGCAGAAGGGATTAGCCAGCAGTGGCTTCCTGCATGTGCGATTCATTATCATTTAGGATGCTGTGCAGTAAACATCTCCTCTGACTGCAGCTCGGACCTCCCACTCCAGCCGTGGCAGCCCAAGGACAGACTGAGACTGCTGCGAGGAGCACACAGCAGTCTCAGTGAGAGAGAGACTAGGAAGCAGTGGGCTTCATTTCAGAAGTCTCCAAATGCAACACCGCTTATGGCAGCCTTTTTTTACAAACTTTAAGGAGGACAGCACAGACTTGTCTGCATGTCTTTTGACCCGCTCACATGCTCAGAGCATGCTGAGATGACTGTGTGAACAAAACCTAACCAAGTGGGGCCGGGCCAAGCCGATGCTACCTTGGCCGGACTGGACTGGGCCAAAATGCCATTGGGCTTGTAATGTGCCTTAGTGACAACTAGAAGCAGCTGATTGTTTTATCTAAGAGCACACAAGGTTAATATGGGTGAAGGAGCTCAGCCACATATGTTGGGGTAAGGCCATGCAGAGATTTACAACAAAAAAAAAGATAATTTTAAAATAAACCCTAAAGTGAATGTGCAGCCAATGGAGTGTAATAAAAACAGAAATATGTTACTTGTTTGGAGAAAAATAAAGAAACTAAAATATCCTTTTTGTGGCACCAGAAGACTTCCGTCTGACATGTAAATGTTGTTTCCAAAATAACATGTGCATCTCTCCTCTCATAAACTTGACAACTTTGTTACTTTGTGCATCTAGATCACTCGTTTTCAGCAACTGTGTGTGTCCACCACGAGCTCTATCAAGTGACGTCTCCAGAAACCTTCACTTTCAGTAACCTCTATACTTTACCACCAGAAATCTGATTTCAGTTTAGACATAGAAAGTATTTATCCCAATTTTCATGTGGAACAATCCCACAAGGTGCTCCCACAACCCCTCTCCTGGCTTAGGCACTTACATTTTCATGGATGCCGATGGTGTTCCAGCCCTGCATGATGGGTAGGAAGGAGATGAAAGTGGGAATAACCCAGCAGCCACCGATCATTAAAGCAACTCGTAATGGTGTCATTTTGTTCCTGTAGACCAAAGGCTTGCAGCAGATAGCGTAGTATCTGTAGGGAGATCAACAATGATAAAGATATTATCAGTAGCAATCATCATTTCAAACCAATCATCTGTGCAAAAGAGGCAGCACTACAAAACGATGCTGAACAGTATTTCGATTACCAAAAGCCTTAAGTTAGATACAGTCAGATACAGGTGAAAAGAATGCAAACGATGTGATTTAGATTTAATATACATTTTGCCATGCAGGCAATCACAGAAAATTGAGTTATCAATTATGGATGCTGGTACTGTTCTGGTAAAGGAAATACCAAAACAAAACACACAGGTAAATAAAAATTACTTGAAATTATTCTGATATTTATAAGACACTTTTGAATAATCTAGCACAGTATACAATTTTATTTCACTGTAATAAAACGTGTGTGTGTATATATATATATATATATATATATATATATATATATATATATATATATATATATATATATATATATATATATATATATATATATATATATATATATATATTATTTTAATAATCTAATTTATCATGTGATTGGAAGTGTCTAAATATAGATGTTGGCCTTATAGAGGGTTAATCTGTTTTCCAATGATAAAGATACATTTTAGCATTGACATAATGAAAATCAGCCAGAAACATAATGTATTTTAAATAATCATCAAATAACACTAACGGTGACTCTTATGTCTACTCTTCCATTCACACAGGATTTTTTTGACCTATTTGAATGTTTTTCTATGTGTATCTCATTCAAATACACCTCACTACTGAACACACTGTGTGACCACACTGTGCATATTTTAGATTATTTCTCTTTACAGAAAAAACATCAGTCACTCAAGCAGGATATCCTGGCACGCTATCAGGTGCTGTTGTACCCCTAAGTACACTGAAACAAAATTTAATGAATGCAATTGCAAAGATGATAATGAATCACTGTGAATTAATGAGGGACAAAGAGTAAAGAGGAAGGAGGGGGATGTGATTTGAAAGGAGACGGAAGCATCCATCTGCATCCTGCTTTAGCTACAGCTCACTCTTTATTAGTACAACGCTCAGCATGTCGATTTTTGTTTTGTGTTTCATTTAACTACAACAAAAAATTAATAAAATCTAAGACAATTCTGAAAGTCAAAAAGTGCACAGGTAGAGTACAGAAACATTTCAGATCAAAGTGACAGAAATTAGGTCACTGTTCAGTTGTGAATATCTGCAAAGTGACAACAATAGGCAAATTTCTGTCTCAATAGCAGCTGAGATTAAGAAAAAGGAAAGAAAAAAGTGATAATTTAATGTAAAAATATTTGTTTATTTCCTCAAAAGCAGAACAGAAGAAGAAATCCGTCTCTTACAAATATGTAAGAAGCTATTAAAACAACAAGGTTCATGGTTTTAGGGATGGTTTTGATGTTGCATTTCCCTGAAGTGCCCAAAGCACAATATAACTGTATGTTTGAAAAATTTCCACACAAATATGTGATTAGGCAGGACACAAAGTTTTGATGTCTAACTCTTAAATATTTTCTCCTCAGTGGATAAACTCATACATTTTTGTAACCTTTGCTTTTTTCTCAGGATGCCAACTGACTTATGCACTGCTGCAACAGAATTAAAGCTAATCCAGTTTATGCCATCGTCAGTCACTGTGGATATTTCCCTGCCTCCTCCGCTGTGATCCTACCCCATTACCTATTTGCAGTACGTGGCATTTCACAGCCATCAGTAATTTGGAGTGGTTGTGTGTACTGTGTGTGGTCTCCATGTGCAGTGGCATTATGAAAAGGTCAAGAGGGCCTTTTCTATTTGAATTCCCAAAGCAGTTGTGTTGAAAGGTTGCAGATTGATTCTTTAAGTGTGGATGTGAAGGTCTGAGTGACAGAACCCCCCATGTCTCTAACACAACAATGAATCCCTGAACTGAGTGGGAGTGAGTACAAACGTTCAAACACACACATCAGCTGAAACATTGTATGCAAGCAAACCCATAAAGCTCACGGACACACAAAGAAGCAGTAGATGCAGGGACACATTCTTCCACACATTAGCCCGGGTGAGATTAGAAGCAGACGTGACACAGTTGAATGGCAGCATGTCATGACCACGAGCACTTTAAATGGTCCCTGCTTCCCTTTGATCTGCAAAACATGTCTTTTTGTTTATTTCTAGCATTTTTATTCTGACATTATTTATTTGAGGGTTGGTTTCTGAGATCAGCCAAACCCAAAGTCTATTACTGCATTCTACAGTCACATGCAGCTGCCACACATGTGATTTCTGCAAAGGGCCAGTTGCAAACCCCAATGCAACTGAGAAATTAAGAATTTGGGAATCAAATGACAAGAAGGCATTTGCTTGTAGATGCTAAAACACACCGGAACATTACATGCAGCAGTCCTGCACTACTAGAATTAAACTAAACTAATTTCAATGACTGTGGTATTTAACTTTATTTTTCATTATTTCTTTGAAATTTTACAAGAGAAAGAATAATTTGTTGGATGCAAAGTAGGAAAAAAATCTATAGCCTTTCAGGGCTTCCCTAGCTAAGTTTTCAAGTGATTCGATTTAAGATGCATGAGCCCTGCTTTTTAAGAGATGCAAATATAAAGTAGTTGTTACAAAGGTTGAGTTTAGGACCCCTCAGTAGGCCATAAAACACTGAGTAAAAAAACATTTTAAAAATACGGCTCAAAGAGTAATCTTATATATTATTTTACTAAATAAATGTTCAGTCCTTCAAGAATGTCGGAAAACCATTTCAGGTGACTACCTCTTGGAGCTCATCAAGAGAATGCCAAGAGTGCGTAAAGCAGTAATCAGAGCAAAGGGTGGCTTTTTTTTAAAAAGAAAATAGAATATAAAACATGTTTTCAGTTTTTTCACCATTTTTGGTTAAGTACATAGTTGTGATGCCTTCCGTGAGAATCTCCCAATGTAAAGGTCATGAAAACAAAGAAAACACATCAAATGAGAAGGTGTGTCCAAACGTGTGGCCTGTACAGCACTATTGGGTGTGGTATCTGAATTTTATAAATGTAACTTTTACAAATAGTCTTGGTAACCCCACAACATCAGCACACACAGAAATTGTGAGGACCCCCTTGGGGGGCGTGGACCCCAGTTTGGGAACCACTGTATGGATGCAAAGCATATTGGATGCTGAGGCTGTTTGTGGTTTGGTTTAGCTGGCTCAGGTTTCTATGATCCAAACTGATTTTAAGTGTCAGCCACTCAAATATTTTAGGACGGAAGCGAAAATATTTGAGAGTGACCGATTTTAGATTAATCTCCCGAGTTAACTTGCTGGCAAAACTTGTTAGATGGGAGGACACAGATGGAGGTCCTGCAGAATGTTCCTGATTTTAGATAAAGACAAAAAATAAATAAATAAATACATAAATAAATAAAAACTCCCAACATGAAAATATCAGAATCTAGTGTCAGAAGTTGTGTCCATGTAATCTGGGATGAACTGCCTGAATAAAATGCTGAACAGTTATCATTGTTTATAGTTTTGCAAGCTTCCTTTTTATTTAAATTTTATCTTCCAAATGGATCAATTCATAGTGCGCTCATGTTCTTTGAACTTTGAGCTTACCAAAACCCTTCATGGGTGAAAGGAGATGGAATAACACATGATGTAACTGGAGGTAAACTCTGTCACAGTGAGGAATAAGAAAATGGCGCTGGCACCATTTTTGAGTCTTTTTTGAGAAACAGAAACATTTTGTACTGTAGTATGTTTTTACATATTCTCTTAAAAATAAGGTTGTGCGAGCTGTCAGGGTCCCCTATGACTCGTGTTACCAAGGCAACTGAAATGGTGTTTTAGTCAAAACCACAGTTGGTTTCTGACTATGAGCTTCATGGCTGGGTAGGCAATGGCTCCTCTGGAGACTATGAACCCAGAATAGAATTACATTTTCTTGTTGTTTTGAAACCTCTGAATAGTCATTTCCATAATATTCAACAATACAATAGCAAGAAAAGTGAATGGGTGTTAAATATGAGGGCAGTTGTCTTTTTAAAACTTGACTAATTTATTTTTTGGCACAACTTTAATGTATACAGTAAATGTGCACATGAAGTCCATGCACATATAAGGCTGCAGCTATCAAATATTTTTGTAATGAAATTTACTACTGAATCCTCTGTTGATTAATCAAATAATCTATTTGACAACACTTCAAACTAGGATAAAACTGTAATCAGCTTGTATTAAAAAATCTATACATCATATGATTCCTTTTCAGAAAAGGCCACCTTTTATTAGACTACAACAAACCGTGTGAGATCTAATCAATGCAACATGTCCTAGAATAGTAGTGCCCATTTCTGGAGGGCCACTATCCAGTAGGGCTGAACGATCCATCGTTTTTGGACCGAAATTGCGATTTCAAACAGCATGATCACGTGACCATCAAAGCTGCGGTTTTAGCGGTTTTGACTGATCCAGGATCAGTTGTATAACTTTTTTTTTACATCCCTGGTTATGGCGGTGGCAAAAGCCAGCACGGGGGTGGGGGTGGAGTGTACCGTCCAGAGTCGAGCCCAACTCTACAGCTGACAGAGCTGCATGTTCAGGTTATTTTACCTGTTTTATGTTTCCACACAGAGCTGCTAGAGCTCATAATAATGGCGCCGTAGGTGAGCCCAGGACAGAGAGTGACAACGTAGTTGAGTAAGGGAGAGAGAGACTCCTCCCACATCGGAGCAGGTTCAGGCTGATGTCTAAAGCTTGGTTTAAGCTTCAAAAGCGCAAGTGCAGAGTTTAGTTGACTTGAAAGCTCAACTTCTCTTTTAAAAATGGTTTGAATGTTTCTGATTGCCACACGTTTTTTCAAACAAGCTAAGGTGTCAGAAGAATGCGTGCGTCTCTCTCACAGAACTGACGTTTCAGTGAGGAAAAACTATCAGACGTTTCGAAAAACGTGCAGCCAGCCTGCCTTGGTAATGCAGGGAAAACTGTGCATTTCTTTTATTTAATACATTTAAAAGCTACTTCTAGCTACAGATTTCCTT